TTGTCTTCGAAAGAAGGGACTAGGATCGCTAGAAGTCTTCCTTACGCTTGGAACGTCACGTCCTAGTCGACCGACGTCGGTCCGATTCCTGGGAGATCAGCGCCCCAGGGACAGACGACGTTCGGGTCCACTTTGGCGTTTAACTATGCGTACCTATGCTACAGCGAACGAGCAAACGCCCTCGGCCGCCCTACCTCTGCAACTGCATTATAAAAGCCTTTGCATGTAGGTCGGTAGCTCGGTAGGGATACGCCCCTAAGGGTGGTGACAGCCCCTTAGGGAAGGTAAGTTGTGCCCCGCGGAAATCTATCCTGTCGTAGGGGACCGTGGGATGTACAGCTGGCGCACTCGGCCGGAGCGGCGAAGGGTTGACGCGGGTTACCGTGCCGTCCCCGAGTTGTCTCTAAAAGGTTGAAAGACTAAGTTTCTCCTGCGTGACGCGGCCGAGAGGGCCCTCGCTCACGCGGGGGCCGATGCGCTCGACAACGGGAACTTCGGACGCCTGACCCAGACAATCTACCATAGGTCCCAATATATAGCCACCAGACAATTTTATTCGGATGTCAGTAGGAACTGCACCCAGTGACACCCTATCCAACCAACCTGAACCTACTGCAGATACTGAACCTTTATCCAGTGAATAGACCCCCCCAGCCTTGTATATGTAGCCCATAGGCGATGTGTAGTTCTATGTTATGTCTGAAGTCTATATATATGTGTACGTAGCCCGTAGGCGATATATAGTTCTATGTTATGTCCGAAGGCTATGTGTGTATCATGTGTGAAAACTTTGTGTATGTAGCCTGTAGGCGATGTGTAGCTCAATGTTATGTCCGAAGGCGTGTATGCAGCCGGTAGGCGATAAATAGTTCTATGCCATGTCCAAAGGCTAAGGCTATGTGTGTATATATAGCCCATAGGCGATATATAATTCTATGTTATGTCCAATGGCTATGTGTACTTTGTATATCGAAGAGAGAGAACGGGGTACGCTGGACAGGGACCCCCCCAAGGTCCGAACCAAGCTCGAACCCGTGACTTTGTAATATATAGTCGAATGACTGTACCACGTGAACGACCAGTGGAAATGACCCAAACGTGTGATTTGCCAGACTGGGGAGATCAACAGAACACCGAGAACCAACACCCCCAAACAACCCATGTGAAAACCCAGAACCAACATACAACACCATGAACAACCCTTAGGTGGTGCGTAGACAGTGTCTGTAATAACTAACTTGCGTCATCCCAAGGGTGTGTGTGTCCAGCCGTGCATTATTCTAACACCCTGCCGGTGCCCATGCGCAAGGCTGCGGATTTGAACCTGCAACCTTATACCACAATGCGCATTTTCAACCGGTGCTCTAACCACTGAGCCACATCAATTGGACAATTTACAGAGTGTTTTATTTTGGTGGGTTTGGCAAAGGTTGGGGCTTGTGTGGATAAGGCAAGGAGTATGAGTGCAGAGAATGGTTAAAGTTGACCTCGTGAAGTGTGTGGTCTGCCGATGTTGAATCCATTATATGATTGCGGATATGTTTTGTGAGAGGAAGTCTAGATTTGACTTTATCTACGATCATAAGTATATCTTGAAGGGAGTTACACTGTAATTGTGAGAGCAATCGACTCGTATCCTATAACCCCATTGTATGTATGTTGTGTATTTGCGTGGTCTACTATGACCGTTCGCATTGATCAAACAAGTCTATATTGAGAGAAAACGAGGATTTTTTTTAATTTTGTTTTTTATAACTTTTATAGTTGGACGTTAAGGTCCGTGGCGGTTATCAAAGTCAAACCTCTTGACCTGATCCTGGATGATGGAACCTTATTTATAGGGTTGGCGGTGTTTAAGCACCATAAAGGGCCAAGGTCTTCCTACCACTCGCCTGCGCAAAGTGCAGGAGAGGGTAAACCCCGCAGTCGCTTTTGTGATTGTCTTGTGTCGAGATATTAACCCCTCGAGTCGTCTGCCCGCCGACACTTGAGTGTCGAAAGTGATCTTGAAGATCGTTGAGGGCCACATGATCACGGGTACTGCATAGTACGTCATTCTTGCGACTGCTTGCGGAATCATGCATGGTTAGTCGATATGACAAAGCCTATGTCGCTACGATATTTATTCAGTTTTGCATATGTCGTTTAGGTATATTGTCATTAAAAAAGTTATGGGTTGGATAAAAAAGGGACTGGGCGTGATTTGTGCGTGTAACTTGGTTTTAGTTTTGAAATGGTACAACGCGTGGTTAGATGGACCGTCCTAGTCGACCGACGCTGAACCCCGCTTGGGACATCAGCCCCCAGAGCGTTGGTTTGTGCGCGGGTCCGATTAAGGCGTTCAACTGCGTGTACCCCCTATGCTACAGCGTACGAGAAACACCCTCAGCTTGGTCACCTCTGCGATTGCAACTGAGCAGCTTTCGCACGTGGTTCGGTAGCTCCGCAGGGATACACATGTCCAAAGGTGGTGACAACCCCTTGGGGAGAGGTAAGTTGTACCTCAAGTGACCCTATCCTGTCATAGGGATTCGCGAGAGGCATGGCTGGCGCACTCGGTTGGAGCGGCGAAAGGTCCACTGCGAGAAAGTCCAGATCCTGCGTGACTCGACCGGGAGGGTCCCCCTGCGGGATTGATGCGCTCAATACTGCTGGGTGGTCCGCCCATCTTTTAGTGGTTGTGGCTGCTGGAGTCTTTGTTCCCTTCATTATCTGTAGGGCTCTGCCATTCTTAGGGGTGTAGTGGCTTAACGGGGTAAAGTTTCCTGTTTTGGGCAAGTCATTCCAGCCAGATAGGTAGGGTTCTACCTTGAAGGAGGAAATTGGTCGTCCTCCTGAACATACCTCCTTTCCACCCGGCCTCATCGACACCCACACCCTCACTTCGTGTAGATTGTCTTTGAGATTAACTATCTCTTCATCTTTAGACTTAGAAGGTCTTCCGACGTGGCATTCGTCGAGCGCTGCCAAAGTTTGATCTTGGTGCCGAACAGAGTGCAAGGGCCGATCACCCGCCAAAATGTGGTAGGCCTTATTGGGGAAACGAACCACGTATCTAATGCTCGATGACGGTCTGGTTGCAGACACGATATCCAGGTAGAAGGAATGACAGTCTTCTGACTATTGAAATTGTGTTCGAGGTTATGTAATGTTGGAAGCCGCCGATGAAGGACCGCAATTGGGAGCCAGTCTTTCCGGTTATCATCCCAGATTTCCATGAGGAAAATTACTCCTTTTATGCTCATGGCTTTACCGAAGTTGCTTGTAGAGTCTGCTGCCGAGAATACTTCACCACTAACCTGAAGAATTCGAGGATTATCAAATAAAGGCTGATTCAGAATCTCCGTTCGAGTGGTTGGCTCCCTGAACGTTGTTGGCGGTGGTTTGTTCGAAGCGAAGAGAATTGATCTCCAAACTGCGGATTTCAGTCGTCATTGTGCAAATGAGGGAAGACATAGGCAAGGCCAGATGTTAGCGTGGTGCTCAAAATGCCAGTCCGACCCAAGGGTATACTCAGCCAATAGGATCCAGCCCTTTGGTGAATCAGACATCATGGCCATAACCGGCCGCTAGGCACAATTCTCAATTTTGGGCTCGAGTTGTTCTCACGCACATTTTCATGCCAATCTGGGCGTAATTGCGGTGACATGCACCCTCGGAGAGACTAGCATTACTCCAAAGCACCCCCTTTATTTTTTTTTTTTGAAAGGTAATCTATATACTTCTCTCAATCACTCTTTTTTTTTCGGTTGGTTTTGTTTTTAGAAAAGCCCAGGTTGTTGTAAAGGCCAGATTCTTCTTTTTTTTGTTTTTGTTTGAAAGTCTAATTCTTTTAAGTCCAACCAATTCAATTACCTGTCAAATCTGGACAGGACGGCCTTCCAGACATATGGTGTTTGCACTCATCAGTCAGCCATTGTTTTCATTCTTCTTCTTCTTCTTCTTCTTCTTCTTCTTCTTCTTCTTCTTCTTCTTCTTCTTCTTCTTGTTCTTCTTCTTCTGAACCTTGGGAACAGCCATTGTTTTTCTCTCAATCTCTCTTTATACAGTTTTCCCCATGTATCTCATGCTCTCGCTACTCTATGTATGTATATTACGGGGGAACACCAACCAACCTGGATCTCTCCCCAGCCCAGGGGTAGGTTTGCACCACAGGGGTGATGCAAGAGCAAGGCTGTACCAGCCCCTCATCACTGTGATGCGGGGTGGGCAGGCGTTGCCCATATGGGAAACCCGCAGTTAGTGCCGAGCACTATGGCCAGTCGCCGCACCTCCCCTCTTCCCCTCCTCCCCCCCCCTTTGATTAGCCTTGTCTAATAGCCAATACAGTTGGTGCATAGCACCCAACAATATTGACCAAGGTCCTGCCAACGCTGGCATGGGGGGCCAACGGGCTATTTCTGGATGGTAGGACAACAAGCATGCCCAGGCACGTACCTGAGGCCAATAAGGGCTTCACCTTCCTCCTTCCTCCTTCTCCATCCTGGTCATTCCCAGTCCTGTTTTAGTTCTCATCCATCTTTTTTGTTGTCCTTGCAAATCGTCGTTGGTCATTTCTCTCTCTCTCTCTCTCTCTCTCTCTCTCTCTCTCTCTCTCTCTCTCTCTGTGTGTGGCTTTTGAACGCATATGCGGTGTATTCGAATAGAACGTTGCCCGCACCTTGTCTTCATTTACAAAGCACGTGCGTTAAGTTCGGCTCTCTGTCTCTCTCTCTTTCTCTCTCGCTTGTGAACGCATATGCGTTGTATTCGAATAGAACGGTGCCCACACATTGTCTCCATTTACAAAGCACATGCGTTAAGCTCGGGGGAAGAAGGTAGGCCCGCAGTAAAGCGCCCCTTTTCTCGTTCGCCTGGCCCCGGCAGTCCGGTTCCCACTAAAAAAAACTGCCTCCTTTTCCCTCCAACCCAAACTACATCCCACCAAAACGCAACTGCTTCTTCCTGACCGTCGATGGCGCGTAATCTACGTTCCATGCTCGGCGGAACCGTGATCTGCGGCAATAGGGCATCCGCTGGTGGAGTACCTGTTTCACTTCCCACTTGTCGTTTAGCGAAGGAAGGAAAACAGCGCGACAGCTTATGCCGAGGCGGACGCCTCGTACAAGTGCTGACGTGGACACCACGTGCAACGTGCAAGATCCGACGTGGATGCCACGTGGACGCTTCGGTACACGGGCTGACGTGAGTGTGCCACGTGCAAGGGCTGACGTGAGCGCCACGTGGATGGCACTTGCAAAGACTCACGTGGACGCGCAAGGGCTGACGTGATAGCCACGTGGACCCCACTTGCAAGGGCTGACGTGAGCGCCACGTGGACGCCACTTGCAAGGGCTGACGTTGAGCGCCACGTGCAAGGACTCACGTAGACGCCATGTTCAAGGGCTGATGTGGATGCCACGTGGAAGGGCTGACGTGGACGCCACGTGGAGTAGGTGGCGCTCCCAAAACATTCGACGATCCCCGTGGGCAAGCAAAACGTTATGCCACGTGGCAATAGATTACTTTGATAAGTTGCAACGGGAAAACTGCGAATTGGCGGGAAAACTGCGAATTGGTGTTGTCTATGCTCTCGACTCGAAAATTTCCCGCCAATTTCGCCACGCTTGGTGTTTTTTCCACTTGGCAATAAAAACATTGCAAAGGGAATATAGCTGAGCTGTCCGTCGCCTTACTGATCGGACTGGATGTTGGTTGTGGGGAGGCAGGGAGCGTGGGGGAAGGCGGGGAGTGTGGGGGAGGCGGGGAGCGTGGGGAGGAGGCGGCGGACTGGGGGAAAGCGGGAAGCGTGAGGGGGGCGCGGTAAGGGGAAAGGGGGGATGTGGGGTTGAGAATCTGCCGACGCGACGGTGGGGTAGAAGCGGTGGGAAGAAGGATTTGTCCCGGAGGAGGAGGAGGAGGAGGAGGAGGAGGAGGAGGAGGAGACGAGGGAGCGGGTCGTTGAGTGGTCGAGTCGATTAGAGGTGATAGAGAGTGACTTGATTGCGTGACGAGATGGCTTTTCGTGATTTGGTGATGGGTGGCGCGGGCTGCAGCGTGCCAGGAGCTTCCACGTCGACGTCGATGAACCCTGTGGCGCGCCTTGCCGATGCCATGCTTGGAACATCAGCTAAGACGCAAGTGAGGAGTTGTCTGCCGCTCTTTGGATGTCTCTCCTCTACTTCCTTTCCCTCCACCTCTCTCTCTCTCTCTCTCTCTCTCTCTCTTTCTCTCTTCTTCTGTCGTCATCTTCTGCTTTCCTGTCTTCCATTTCTGCTTATTTTCTTCTTCTGCTGCCTCTTCCTTCCCTCCCTGTCTTCTTCCTTCGCTGTTTGCTTTTTTTCCTCACTGGCCATAACGCAAGCAGTTCGCTGCCCTGCCTTCTTCTTCTTCTTCTTCATCTTCATCTTCTTCTTCTTCTTCTTCTTCTTCTTCTTCTTCTTCTTCTTCTTCAATGATCTTCTTCCTCTTATGTTGTTTTTCTTCTTCTTTTCTCCCCTTGCCTCTTCTTCCTCCTCCTCCCTTTCTTCCTCCCGTTGCTGTTTTTCTCATTGGCTATGGCGCCGAGAGTTGCTGGCCCTTCTTCCTTCGGACTTGTCTTCTTCTTCCTCTTCTTCCTCTTCTTCCTCTCTTTTCCTCTTCTTCCTCTCTCTTCCTCTTCTTCTTCTTCTTCTTCTTCTTCTTCTTCTTCTTCTTCTTCTTCCCTCCTCCTCACGGTCTTCTTACGTTTCTTCCGCCTTTTCGTCGTCTATTTTTTTTCCTGTTGGTTTTTCGGTTCTCGTCGCGTCCTTGTGCCTAAGAAAGAAAAGCAAAAAAAGTTGACGAGAACCGAAAAACCAACAGGAAAAAAAATAGACGTCCTGCAATCGCTCGTCCTCGAATGTGTCGTCGTCTACTTACTCGTGTCCTTCAAATTCCTTGTGGTCTTTTTTTTTTTTTTTTTTTTTTTTTTT